CCTCCCGCTGCCCTTCCCATGGCAAAAAGCAAAAAAAAAAAAAAAAAAAGGAAAAAAAGAAAGAAAATAGGCGTTCTGTTGCTGGATACCTGCAAAAGGCCACGCACGTGTCGAAGTCCCTAGCTGTCGCAACACCGTGGGTTATTAAAAAAATGTGACTTAAAAAAAAAAAAGAAAGAAAGAAAAGAAATTAAGTGGAGTTAGGTTAGCCCTTTTATTTATTTATTTTTTAATGGCAAAGGGCTGACACAAAAGCAAGATAAAAATTAGCATGTTTGAAGTAATCGTCCCGCAGCTTGACATCTGCATAGTAAATTTTAAAGGAAAAAAATGTGTCAGACAGCCATGAGCCGCCTCGCCCTCCCCCTTTCATTAGCTCACTGCCAGGGTGGCACTGCTGAACCTCATTATGGCGAGAGGATTTATGAAGCTGAACCCAATGGCAAAGAAAAGGCATCTGTCAATAATTGTAGGGAGCTGCACTCACAGCTTTGAAATCTCATTAAGTATGCAGTTATCAGGCATAAAGATCAAAAACATTACTCAACTCCGACAGAATCTTATGGAGGAACATTAATTAGCAACAGGCCTACAGTACAAAAAAAAAAAAAAAAAAACCACAGACTTCCTCTCACACCTGCCCAACCCACAAACCTAAAGCAACACTCCCCCTCCCGCCTGAAAAAAAATAATTCCCAGCATCTGAAACTGATCAAGAACATGAAACAAGAGAGACGCACACAGAAAAGGGGAAAGGGAGGGAAGGGGTGGGCGGCGGGCAGGGAGGAGGGGAGAGGGAGGGCGGGGAAATTCAGTTGAGAAAGCCTTGGCGGTGAGGAGAGAAAAGGAAGAAGCTGTCAAACTTGAGAAGGATGTCAGTGCGGGCCCTGATTACTGGGGCCTATGGAGTTCTCAGACCTTTTATCATCCTCACCATCAAAACCAGCCTGGGAGTCACTGCCGGGAGGACTGGGGGCTGCAAGTCTGCAGCCCGGGCCCAGGGCCCAGAGCCCAGGACCCTCTCCTCCAGCCCCTGCTTACCTGGCAGGCAGGAGGCTGCAGGGCCAAGACCCAGGAGGTAGGCCCCGGTTTCCCCAGCCAGTCTGCACCCAGCCGGCTAAAGCTGGCAGCAAGACTCGCCTTCACAGGCTCTGGATATAGGCCAGGCAACCACTGTGTTCACCTTCCATCTCTCAACCGCTGTAACACACCTTTTTCTTCCTCCAAAGACACTGCAGCATCCCCTTCTCACACATGCACCCTCTGTTATTTGAGTCCTGTGTGCAATCCCTTACTGAAAAATACAATATAGATGGGGGAAGGCACGTGGAAACTGCCAAGCTGACCCTGAATCCCGAGGCCTCCAGACCTCTGTAACACACTTGGGACAAGGTGCAGCTCATTATGGGTGTCCAGGAGATCCACACACCAGTTTGACTCTAGGATCCCCAGGAAGTTAAAATTAAATGACAAGTTACCTGCCCCACCAAGATGCATCAGCAAAGAGTAATGTACATAATGTACATGTGTTTCGGAAACATCCCACAAGTATTGCACACTTGGGGTCTCAGGCAAACTTCCCTGATGTCCTGTGGTGGTCTGGATCCAGGGTAGATGAACAGAGGCCTGATGGCATGGAAGTACGTCTCAAATACCATTCAGGTTTCAGTCCAACAGGCAACATCAGCCACCCCCGGACATGGCATGCAACAGTGAGGCACCATCTGTAGCTCCCCCCCCATGAAAGGTGTAGGAAAATAATAAAGTAGATATTCTGCATTTTATTTCCCTTATTGCACTGTTATAGAAAGGTGGCCTTCTCTGCTTACCTGCTAGCATGCTCGCTCGCTCTCTCGCTCGCGCGCTCTCTCTCTCTCTCTCTCACACACACACACACACACACACAGCACTTCCCACAATCCCACACCATAAGAAACCCTACAGAACAGCTCCTTTGATCTGAATCCTCTGCTAGCATTCTCTTAGCTCCTCACTCACTCCTAAGCCACATTCTTCCCTGGTTCCACGGCTACTTCTGAAGTGTTTACCTCTCTGGTCTACTCAGAAGACAATGGTCACCTTTTCATAATTAGCCACATCTTTAAGAAAACCGGTATGAAGATTCCTAGGCAACCAGCCTGGAGATCCCTCCAAACCAAGGCCCATCTTTTCCAATAAATGCTTCTCCTTTAGAATATCAATGAACACAGCTCGAATAAACTGTCACCTATGACCAAAAATAGTCAGGAACACTTGTCTATAAACCAGACTTGATGAGAAGGCATTTTAGCAGGAGTATTACAATAAGGTGTTTATATTTTTTATGTGCTTACCATATTACCTTTATTATGTGTAACATCAAAGTGATTATAGCAATTACATCTAACAGAATTAATTACAGAACTTCCCATCATTCCAGGATACATAATGCATTAGAGGTAAGCCAAAGAAAGAAAACATCTTGATTGTAGTAACTATTGTTGGGGTATATTTTCTCCAGCAGCAATGCCACACCAACGGCAGCTTTCAGAGCAATGGAAACTGACAGGTTTAACAGGGAAAAAGCTGTATTCTCTTAAAATTGAGCTCACGCTTTTTGCTTAATAGTACGTTGGTGATAGTGGACATATAAAATCAATTTAATTTTTTAAGTGTAAATCTTTGAAAAGTGCTGGTTAATCCACCCAACCAATGTTACTACATAAAGGAGAAAGCACATGGGTGAAAGACTTACAAGTCTTTACGTATGCAAAATAAATTCACTCAAGGCTTCATTAATATTAATTTAAATTCAAAACCCATTTACATTAAATTGTTCATTAAAAATTGCCTATTTTATGCAACATGCATTTCTCAAAGAACTCAGAGGAAACTGAATACATAGGACTAGATTTAATGATGGGAATGGAAAATCCAAAGTAAATGAATTGGAGTCATTTCACGTATATTACCAAACAGCCCTTTGCTCTCCATTAAGGATGGGTTCCACTTTGGGGAACAAATATATATTCTGAATATTGTGTCTTCTACTGCTATAAACTTGTAAGCATGACCTCTGGCCTACCACAGAGGAAAAAGAAGAAAAACAAGAGAAACTGGTGGAAGGAAGAGGGCAGCCAATCCAAAACTGGGCTTGGAATAATGCAGGGAGGGTTTGCCTTCGGATCATACCTGGATTCACAGTGCATTGAGAGTTAGGCTTGCATTTTTAAAAATGTACATAAGTTAGCATCTGCCAGTGCCCCTCTTGATCTAGAACTAACAGTGTCTCTCTCCCCTATACTCTACCCTTTACATTCCTTTATTCCCTTAGCCAGGTGAACAGGAACATGAAGACAAGGAGTTGGTAAGTTCCCTGTGCTCTCCCTCCTGACAACAATCTGAACCTACCCTGTTTCCCCAACAGCTGTTCTGGATGAAGAAAACACAGTCATAATTAATAACATGTGTCCTGACAGTATGAATTAATAATTTATCATTAAGCCCAAACAAATTTAAATTATTCTTCAAGAGCCACACCTTTGCATATCTGAGAAAATAAGGTAAGGAGATGGTTAAAATGTCCAGGTAACGTGACCTTCAGTGAACCACTCGCCCCCGCCCCCCTGACTGTATCTCTTGGACTATTCTTGTTGAAATGCTAAAATAATTTACAGAATTGAAAGTAATTAAACCCAAGAATCGAAATGCTGATCAAACTAAGTGCATGTGCTAGAAATGTCTTCTTTTTTAAATGGGGCTTATAAAATATTCAATATTTGGTCAAGGACACTATGTAATCTTTCTAATAAAGATTCCTAAACCTAGAGTATGACAGTTGTTCAGGCAAGTGGTCATAAGAAGATTATGTTCTATTACTGTCTTTTTTTTTTTTTTTTAAACTTCCAAAAATGCATAGCGTTATTCTGGTCACAAACAGTGACCTGAATTTTTAAGTCCATGTCTAAACGTAAATTTCTATAAATGGTGAAAAATTAAGAAAAGCTACCAAGTCTACGTCTCCAGTCCTTACAATTCAGAGTCTTTTTTTTTTTTTTTAAAGAAAATCCAGAAACGGGAAAAATATTGATAGCCATTGTTTAGTGGGATTTAAAAATTTAATGACTAACTGCAAATACTGGAAACTGGAATTAATCTGTCTGGATTTTTTTAAAAAGGCTTACAGACATTTAAATGCATGTATCGGGACACTTTATCAACCTAACATAAAATTGTCATCTTATCTTATTATATGACTATTTTATGCACGTGTCAAAGAATTTAAAAATGACTGCCTGTCTATTGAGTCTAATTACAACTGCACATTATCTGTCTGGATGTACCAGTCCATATCATTGTTACTAAATACAATATATTGTATTCACCTTTCATTTGTAACTTCAGACAGAGAAACCACAATTTAGAGCATAACTAAAACACAGACACACAGACACACACACAGAGTGAACACCTGCAAGGGTTTGGGATACGGGATACCACTGTTCCCTTCTGTCCTTTTCCCCTCCATGGGTTTTGAGGGTAGTGCTACAGGGCTGTGACAAAGCAGCTGATTTGAAAGACCCATCTACTACCTGGGCTGGACACTAACACAGAAGGGTAGACACACACACCCTACTTTATTTCATTTTTATTAATTTTTTTACGACACGACCAAAGCTATTTTTACCCTCTGCCCAGTGACAAGCAGGGATGAAAATGGGGCAGGAGGAAAGCCTTACAAACTGCACTTGGAATAACTGTGAACTGCTGCCACTCTTGGATTAAACATGGCTGTGTGCACCAGGACCGGGCACTTCCGACTCCTTTCCTCTCTGCCTCCCTGCCCGCCTGCCTGCCGCAGCCCTAGCCCCAGCCTGACTCTGGCAGGACACGTGTGAAAGAGAAAGCACCACAAGAGGTCCAGGCACTCTGCCCTCAAGAAGGTAGATCCTTTCTCTTTCCAGAAATCCCAGGAGTGGAGGGCGGGGGGTAAAGGAATGGTTTTAATTCTCTCAACTCACCTGGGTTTCACGGCATTTCCCACGGCCCTGAGCAGTCACCTTTCATTCTAATCACTCGACAAAACAATCTTTAGCAAAAAGAGGGGAAAAGGCAGACGTGTGAGGCAATTTAGGGAATCGCTGCTGAGGCATCAGTTATTGACTATCTGGCTCCTGTTTATGAGCGTGCTCAAGGCAAAACTGAGAACAAAATGACAACATCAACAGCTCACAATCAAGTGTGGCCCTGGAGAGCACTGAAGCCCTAACTGACAGCTGTCAAGATAATGGGGACACTGCAGCTGATTCTGGAAGGTTCTCTTCCCCAAGTGGACGTCCAGGGGAATAGCCTTGCCTCCCACCTCCTTTGTTTTTCTCCTTCGTCTTCTTGGTTTTCCTTTTTAGAATTTGCATTGTTGCTCTCATTTCGTAGGAAATGGGGGAAGAAAAATCATAGAACGGTCAAAATCAGTCCCTCTGCCACCTTGCTACAGAGTAGAATACCTGTCCAAGGAGAAATACATGGCAGGTCTGAGAGGAAATAAATTCCCAAAGCTAAGGCCGAAATGCCCTTCTGAATGCTCCATGTGCTTCCGAGAGAGAAGGGAAAAGCTCCTCCCCGGAGCTGCCCCATGTGTGGACCAGACTTAGGAAGGTGTCATCTGGACATCACCAGGTGGGCCACCTCTTAGGCATGCCCATGTCTACTGGCAACATGAAACCCCCTTCTGCCTGTTCCAGGGGGATCCACAGTGTTCTGTGACGCCAGCAGACCCTAGGGGGTCCAAGTCACTTTCACAAAAGTCAGGATGCTTGAAGATGTACCCTCGCCTTGTTTTTACCACCTAAGAACTCCATAGAACATTACCCCCTTTCAAGGAACACAGCTCGCTGGCAAGTTGTGGTGCGATGGTTTCTTTTTTATTTTCTTTTTGGAAGCATAAGAAATGGTCTTTTACGATTTCACATTTGCCTCCAGAAAATTAATATACCTAAGTAAAATATCTGCTATTAAGTATTACACTAAAATTTTTCTGGCATTTTCAGAAATGTTTTTGAAAAACCACTCTGAAGAGGAGAAAGTCATGCTTTAAGCAAGGGATAATGGTCATTTTGCCTGAAGGACACTGTCCTTCCCTCACCCCACTCCTCTGAGCTTCTAAAGGCAGCAACATCTGTCCAGCACAAACGCACAGCCCCTGGAAATTACAGGTCTCAAGGAAGCAAACTCCCGCCCAGGTTTCTCTTTGGCAGGTAAAGAAACCTCTCTTTCTCTTTGAGAAAAGACACTAAGCCATGCATAGTTTCTATCAAAACACCAAAAAATCCTAAAGTACAGAAATATGTATTTTCAGGGATTCTTGGAGCCTCCTTCGGCCTTCGGGAAAGCAATGATACATTGGCCTAGATATGAAGACTGTGTGTACCTGTGTGCCACATCTGTTCGCCCTACCCAGCTCTTGGCCTTTTGTGGTTGTTATTCTACCCCAGACCATTAAAAGGGCCCTAATTCCTATGACATGATTATCCAGGTACCAAAGCCCATTTGTCACCTGCAGCAGAAAATTGAGTTAATGCACAACTAAAGGCAGCCAGGACTGTGTAATATCAACTTGATTACATCAAACTAGCTGCAAACCTAATTCTGCTGGATGACACTGCGTCGAGCTTGTCATCTCCAATCATTAAAGCTGTCAGGAATCCATCAGGTTTACAGCTAATTAGGTGAACACTAATGAAGCTGGCAAAACAACTTTTCTTTTTTTATGGCTGAGCGGACCTTTCAGTTTGGAGGGGAAAAAAAATTCTCGAGTATTCTCAAGGTTGCTGGGGACTGGATTTCCAGTTACCAATCAGCAGACATCTTTCTTTTTCCCACTCTCTCTCTCTCTCTATCAGTACAAAGCAATCAATTTGTCATCACTCCCAGTATGCCACAAAAGCTGGCATGAACCTTATAACTTGCAGCTGGGAGAACTGAAAAAGAGGAGAAAAAAAATGGGAAGTTTCTTGTCCATCCAAACAAACAAACCAACCAAAAACACCTCTGTGCATACTTATCACCAGCCTAAATGTGGAGTTTTTTTTTTTTTTTTTTTTCTCCACTCTTCTTAAATAAGCAGCTCTTCAGTCAGCCTCCACCCCCTCCTCCACATGTCCATTAGGCAGAGGCATTCTGATAAAGTAAATCCAAAACCCGAGTATGGGAAAGAAAGAAAGCACTCATGCTGCCAGCTTCTGATTGACCATTAAGCTATTGATGAATGTGCCTGTCAGGAGAGAGACAATTAAATCAAATATGAAACAAAGTCGTTTTGACGGGTCATTTTGATAGAGCAAAACCATTCTTCCATCTCCTATTAGTCCTGCAGTCAAGTTTTTTATATAATGAATTTTTCTTAACTGACCTGAGATTTCCTGGCTGGCTTTCTTTTTTAATAATTAAAAAAAAAAAAAAAGTGCAGAAAGGTTAGTGAACAGGTTGCTCTAAAAATAAATAAATAAATAAAGCCAACAGCAGGTTCCCTCCTCCTCTGATATTTTTCTGGAGGAAGCTATCAAATATGAGTCTCAGATTGGCAGGGTGCAACTGAAGAGATGAACTAGAGAGTTCTGAACCAAATGTAAAGATGTAATCACATATGGTTCATTGGATGGAGGCACACACATACCTTAAAATGTGTATCCAAAAAGGAAAGAAAAAAAAAAATTTTCAAAGACTGGAAGAAGCCCAAGACATTCCTACTACTCAACTTTGTGAAGGATTCCTCCAAAGTTTCAGAGTTTATTTTGGGTAGATAAGCTCATTGCTTGAGCCTGGAATTTAAAGTAGAAGGTGGGACGGGCAAGAAGCAAGCTCCAGGAGGTTAACTAGGGAGGCGGCAAGCTCCCTACAATCACTCCTGGAATTTTCAAACTTTCTAAATTTGGGCAACACAGAGGACAGAGAACAAAACCTGCATCCTAAGCCCCAAACCAACCCTGTTTCCTTCTGAGATTTTCTGAAGACACTGGCAGGCAAGTACATTTCTGGGAGAAGAGAGAATTATCATTCCTTCTCTGTGACCCCGTGTAAGGGGTCTGGAGTGCAGAGTGCAGCCAACGTGTGAGGTCCCCTGGCAGTGCCGGCTGGCGTGATGGAAATTATGGGCACGATGGGTACAACGCCTTCATCCAAGATGGGCACCAGCCAATGCCCTGACCCTACTCTCTGCCCTTTCCTCTAACATCAAAAGAGAAGTAAAAGAAAGGAAGAGGAAACAGAAGAAAGGAAGCCCCACTTAACCCTCCCCTTCAGGGAGCATCTGAACTCTGCACATCTGAGTGTTACTCATATCAAAATACATCACGTCCATATGTGGTCCTCTCGGCAATTCGCCCCAAATCCCAAAGTTGCACTGACAGGGCCCTCCTGACGTCACAGAGCTTGGCCTCACTATTCCAAGTGATTTATTGATGTTTATTGGGAATGAATAGATCAAAGGCAGCAGCATGACGGGCGATCAATCAGTCATCAAATCAAGGATGGCAACGGGCCAGAAACCCTTCTTCCAGGCAACATGCCCCCAACCGACATTATTGCAAAATAATGTTATGTGTGTGGTTTTTGTTTTGTTTTCAGTGATGCGTTTTCCAGAAAAGAAAAGAAAAAAAATCGGCTCAGTCTTAACAGGAGTTGACACTCCCGGTTGAAGAAAGAAAAAAAAAAAAAAAAAGGAGGAACAAAAAAGTACTCACACACGTCCCAGAACTAAGTGCTATGCGGAGATGAGGGTGGGAGCAGCAGTACAAGGAGGGGGTGGGGGCAAGGAAACACAAACAGGGGAGAAGGAAACGCCAGCATCTAACATGGACTTGACAGTCATCTGACAATACCCAGACCCTGTGCGCTCCGGTTTCCACCGCTGTGCCCAGTTTGGGCCCAAGAAATGAGGAATCAATCGGATTAGCACTAAGGTGGCCAAGGGGACTGGCTCGTTCACTCGCTCGCGCTCCCTGGCTCGGCGGACACCGGGCAGTCTCCCGCCGGTCGGCCGCCCGCAGGACGCGGAAGGTGTCCCGGGGAACTCAGGTGACCCCGCCCGCCCCCCACAGAAAAAGCCAGACCGGGGTTGCTTCCCATCCCCTCTGGAGCCGGAGAGCTCAGGAGGCAGGGACCTGGCGCGGCTCAGCGCGCCCAGCAAGCGGCTCCCCAAGTGGGTGCGAGAGGGAAGAGGGCAGAGCGCGGCGGGGCGTCCGGGGGGAGCCCGGTACCCGAGGCGGGCGCACGCACCCAAACAGGAGAGCTGCACCCGGAGTTACTCAGCGCGGGCAGAGGAGCGGGGCGAGGAGCGGGGTCGCGCCCGCTGGAGGCGCGGGGCGAGCGGAGGAAGAGGAGGAGAGCAGAAGGAAGGGGAAGCGGCTCGTACCTGCTGCGCGCCGGGGCGCCTGCTGCTTCCTCCTCGGCATGATGCTTCTCCGGCGACTGCCACTGCCGCCGCCGCCGCCGCCGCTGCCGGGCTGAGGACAGGGAGGGAGGGGCGGCGGGCCCGCGGGGGGGCGAGGCGGGCCTGCTCTCAGCCTCCCCCCCGGAGAGCGGCCGCCCGCAGGATGCTGCTGCGCCCAGGCTCTCCGCGTCCCCCCCGCGCCGCGCTCCGCCGCGAACCCCGAACGTGCGGAGGGAAGAAGGAGGGCGGGCGAGGGAGGCTCGGGGAGGGAGGAGCGCGGGGGGGAGGAGGAGGCAGAGGAGGAGGAGGTGGAGGAGGAGGAGGAGGACCGCGCTGCCGGCGGAATGGGAAGTTTGACAAATCGCTCCAGAGGCCGGAGGAGGAGGGGGCGGGGAGGAGCGGCGGCCCTGCCCCCCCCCGCCCCGTCCCCAGACGAGGTGCGCGGGGTTCGGGGCTGGGGGGCGGGGAGAGGGGGAGAGGGCGGGCAGAGGGGTGGGAGGAGGAGCGCGGGAGCGGCCCGGGCCGGTACTGCCCCGGCCCCCGCCCCCAGGCCGGGGGTCACGGCATCCGGGGGGACGCGCAGCCGCCGCCGCGGCCTGGGGCTCGGCGGTCCAGTCTTCTGCCCGCGGCGCGGCTGGAGCGGCGGCGTCGGCAACAGGCAAGCTTAAAGGAAAAGGAGATGATCGTGTCACTCGTCCGCTCGCGGGGGCGCCGCGCCCCCACCCCCCGGCCCCAGGCCCGCCTGGGACCCCCGCCCCGCCAGCAAAAGGGGTGCCGCCCCTCCGCCTCCGCCCCGTGCGCACACGCAGGGGCGCGGCGCCAGCCCCGCCGAGCCCGTCCCGGGGCGCCCGTTACCCCCCACCCCTATTCCCACCCAGCGTTCGTCCCCGGCCACCCCCCAGTTGCCCCGCCCGGCCCGCACTCCTCTCCACCCGCGGACTCCGGAGCCCCCAGCGCTGGCCGGGGCTGGCGCCCCCCGGGGATGCCAGAGCCCACAGGCGGGCCCCCTCCAGGGAGGAGGCGGGCGCGGGCCGGGGCGGGTGGCGGCAGCCCTCAGACCCCGCGCCACCCAGCTCCTCCCCCAGGACCCGCCGCTGCCACTTCCCCCAATTTTTTTTCCCCGGACAAACTTTCCTGGGCCCGTCCCGGGGGTCGATGTGGGAGGGGGTTCCTTCAAGTTTCCTCTCCTGACTTTGGGATGATCAGGGTCTCTCCACCCAGCCCCTCGCCCCCTGGGAGCCGGGCCGCGCCCCCCATCCACGGCGCGGGCCGATCCTAGGGCGGGACGGGGGCGGGAGAAGGAAATCGGGCTCCCCTGCCCATCCCCCCCCCCCGGGCTCACCCCCGAGAGCCGGGGGGGCCGCCGCGCCGTGTCCCGCGCCCGGCCTGCCGGCGCTGCTGGACTAGAGGGATTGATTATTGATTGGTGATCGGGGTCGCTGAGGCTCCGGGAGGGCCCGGCCGGCGGTCCGCGGGGAGGAGGAGCTGGCCGGGCGGCGTGGGCGGTAGGGCGACGCGGGCTCACTTACGGGCGGCGGCGAGGGCGCGGGTGGGCCGGAGCTCATGCGGGCGACCCCCGGGCGGCGGCGGCGGAGCGGGAGCCGGAGCCGGAGCGGCGCGGGCGGCGGCGCATCGATGCGCTGCGGGCTCGATTGTGTCTCCCTGGGCCAGCTCTCAGGCCGGGAATGGGGCGGCCGCGGCGGGGCCGGCTCCGGGCGCTGCCGGGCGGCGGCCGCTGGAGCGCGGGGGCGGCCTCCGGGCCCACTGTCCCAGAGGCGGCCCTGCACCCGGCCGCGCCGGCTGGGGCTCTGGCCCTCTCGTTAGCCCCGAGGCCGACAGTCCCGGCGAGGGCCGGCGCCCCGCGCTCCGGCACCGGCTGCCTGAGCGCTCCCGGAGCAGCAAACCCCAGACTTCTTCCTCCTCTCCTTTCTTCCCTTTTTTCCCCCCTTATCTTTTTCTTTTTTTAGTCTCTTTCTCCCTCGTTTTCTGACCTGTGTCCTTTTTATGTTTTCTCTGCGACTGTTCTGCAAGTTTGTTTTAAAAGTTCACAGCATGCTTTCTTTTCTTTTAGACCGGGAGACAGTGATCTCACCCACACGGTAAGATCAAAAGTCTCCGCTCGCCCAGCCTGCGGGCTTGGGCTGGGTCCAGACGTCTCCCAGGATGCAGATGCGCCGCCGCTGGCCTCCCCGGCTATAAAGCCGCTTCCAGCGCCTTCCCGCGCGCAGGAGCGCTCGGAGTTGTGGGGTGCGGACCCCAGGCGGGGCGGGGAGTCCGAGGCAGGCAGCTGCGGGACTCTGGGGCTGGCGGACTCGGGGGCTGAGGCGCAGTGCGCGTTGGGTGCCCGCGGCCGCAGAGGCCAGAACCGCTACTCCTCCAGGCCCGGGAGACGCGGCCGTGGAGCGTGAAACGCTTCTTGCAAGCGAGGAAACGGTGAGTTGGTAGACACCGCCGGCGGCCTCACCATTCTGGTGGCTGCGCTGAGCTCCTGTCGCCTGGAGGCGGGTTGCGCTGCACGGGGTCAGCTCCCGCCGGCTCCCAGCTCACCTTCGAAGCGCCCACTTAGGCGCGCCCGGTGCGGCGTGTGCACAGCGCGGGGCGCCGCGCACGGAAGCGTGGAGTTCTGCCTGGTCGCGCTTTTCTCCTCCTTTCCATCCCCTCGCTGTTCTTGCAAACCTCTGTTCCCTCGGCCCCCTCCCCCTGCGGGCCGCGGCCTGAACTCGGGTCTCCGCGTAGCCGGCGGCCGCCGCTTGGTCGCTGCCCGGCCCTCCCCTGCTCAGGCGCCGAGCGCTGTGCGATCCGCCCTAACATCTGTCCGTCCAACCATTGGCGCATCCATCAGTGTCAATGGGCTGCACATTGCAGCGACAGCCCGCCACGCACAACACGGGCTATGCGGAGTGCACGCCGCAACCATACTGCCATGCCGGGACACGCAAAAAGGCCCCCGGCCTGGCTTGGCA